CAGCTGCCGGGCACGCTGGCGGCTCCTACACGCCTCAAGGAGGGGCTGTGGGTCGCGAAGGTTTATCAGAATTGCTCAAGGGGTTGTGTTTAAACCAGTCAGTAACCAAGGAAGAAGTACGCGGAAGACAGGTCCTTGCAAAGCCTTTCCAAACGCCTGGCCCCCCCAAATCAATGGTTTTCTACTCCGGCTCTCTACGCGGAGGCCCTTCCCCACTCCTATCCCCACGCTCCTATGAGGGCGGGCGTTAATATCTGAAATGTAATACTACCCGACTGCCCCTTCGGTAGCAGAAATCTTTCTCCTTTAGATCCTCTAGTACAGAAAAGGCCCAAGGATGGCTAGTCAGGATTTTTTTTGCAACGCAATAGCCAGGGGACAGCAACAGTATCGCGCACGCGCCGCGTGGTCCCGCCCCTCTCGTCTCAACCTAGAAAGCAGAGAGGCCGTGATGGCGGGGCAAGCTGACCAATCAAGGGAGAAGCACGAGAAGCGCGCGCAGGAGCCGCAGGTCCTTAGGGCCGCGGAGGCGCGTCTATGATTTCTGCGCGTGCGCAACACCTTGGCGTGTAGCGGGCTGGGAGGAAAAACGGGGAAGCGAGGAGGAGGGAGTTGGTCAAACTGAGAGGTTGGGGGAGGGGGCTGCCCCGCCCCGTCTCGCCCTGCCTTTTCTCCCTAGTGAGATCTCTCTCTCGGGGCTCCCCAGCTCACAAAACAGGGCCGGAAACGCCCACCACTTAGCGGCCACTGTTACTTTCTGGCGGCTGCAGCCGCCGGGCACTAACTCCTCAGGGAACTGACGCACGACCAAGTGGCTGGCAGCCATCTTGCAGTGCCTTGATGATGCGCATGCGCCAGCTCCAGCGAGCCGTTCTCTGCGCAGACTCCCAGGCCAAGCGCTATTTTACATTACCCTGGGGCCATACCATTCATAGCCATTTGGCTATATGAATTATAGGAAGATGAAGCAGTAAATGAAAATTTCCCGGTAAAAATGTATTTTTTTAAAAAAATTTATTTCAGCCCTAGCCGGTTTGGCTCCGTGGATAGAGCGCTAGCCTGCAGAGCAAAGGGTCCCCTGTTTGGGGTCAAGGGCACGAACTCAATTGCAGACCAGTTCCCCACCCGGGTCCTGGTTGGGGTGCCTACAGGAGGCAACCAATTTACATGATAGTTCTGTCTTTCCCTCTATTTTCCCCTCTGAAAAACCACCCTCTGGTGAGGTTTTTAAAAAAAATTTGACTTCAGAGAGGAGAGAGAGAAAAATATCAATGATGAAAGTGAATCATGGATTGGCTACCTCCTGCACGTCCCACAACTGGGATGGAGTTGGCAACCCGGGCATGTTCCCCACTAGGAATGCGCTGTGACCTTCTGGTTTATAGATCTATGCTCAACCATTGAGCCACGTGGGCCAGGCTCCCCGTAAAATTTCCAAGACCAGTAAAGGTTAACATATCTCACCTTGGCCAGTTAAGACAATCTCAATTGCATGATACATTATAGTTTACAGGAGCCTTAGATAGCTAGTATATTGCTTAGCACCACCTAGATTAACTGTTCTCTCTCATCTGCCATGTAAATCCTCTGAGCAGATTTGGAGGCTTCTGTGTCCCACTGAACACATGCAATTATTATACTTTAATTATTTTATGTCTCCCTAGTAGACTCGTGTTTCTTGATGCAGGAAACCTATTTTGTCAAGCTCATATCTAGTATTCATTAATTCAACAAAAAGTTGTTGAACATGTGGAATGAACCATTCTAGATGTTGGAGAGTAACAGCAAAACAGACAAAAATTCCTTCCCTCTGGGGCTTAGTGTCAGGATACCATAAGCAAATATATATCAGGGGGTAGTAAGGAAGTCTATGAAGAAGTATGAAGCAGGTTAAGAGAGGCAGAGGGCATAGAATGGGCGATCCTGAATGGGCATAGGAATGGTGGTTTGGTGAATCAGGAAGAGAGTGATACTTGCTCTTGTTAAACAAAAATTTTAACTTTTACAGTCTTTAAAAGGTTTATTAGGCCATTGCTACAAAAAAAGACTGATTCTTGGGGTGTGAGCCTAACCAACAACATGGCTAGGTAAGAAAAACATGTCCAATGTCCTTGGGTTTTGCAAGCATTTTTGTTTTTAATCCTCACCTGAAGACATGCTTATTAATTTTAGAGAGAGAGGAAGGGAGAAAGAGAGAAACATCAATGTGGGAGAAACATCAACCAATTGCCTTCCCATATTCACCCCGACCAGTCATCAAACCTGCAACCTAGGTATGTACCCTGACCAGGAATCAAGTCCAAAACTTTTCAGTGTATGGGACAACACTCCAACCAACTGATCCACACTGGCCAGGTCTGCAAGCATTATGCAGTACATTAAGTAGGGGGAGTAAGATACAAATCCTTCTTAATCCACTCATCTGCTGATGGGCACTTAGGCTGTTTCCAAATCTTAGCTATGGTGAATTGTGCTGCTAACATTTGGAAACAGCCTAAGTACCCATCAGCAGATGAGTGGATTAAAAAACTGTGGTACATCTACACAATGGAATACTGCGTTGTGGTAAAAAAGAAGGAGGACAACAGGGGGATGAGAACATGAGTGGGGGGGCAGGGGAGGTTGGGAGTTAATGGGGGAATGAGGACACATTTGTAATACCTTAACCAATAAAGAAATTAAAAAACAAACAAACAAATCCTTCTTAAATAATTTACGTTAGCTATAGACAAAGGGGATGGGAGAAGGTGAAGCTGGGATAGGAGCAGCGGAGTCCACAAGAGTCTGTAAAACTCACGTGTAAACAAGAAGCAGAGACTCCTGGGGTTCAAAATGGGAGCGGGGAGGTAAGAAATTGGCCAAACTAGCTGTTCTCTCTTTTTAGGTAATTTGGAAATAGTCACCCAGAAGTCCCAAGTACACGGAGTGCAAGCAGTCTTTTGTTAGTTTTGCACTACAGATGTTAACTGCTTAACCTCTAATTGTCTCTTCCTTCCACCCTCTGGCCTGCTGTAGTTTAATTTAGGTTATCTCATAATTTTCTCCTTGTCAATCTGAATGTTGATAACGAGATAACAAAGCAGATATGGGGGAAGTGCAGAAAGAACAGCAAGTGCAGCCCTGACCGGTTTGGCTCAGTGGATAGAGGAACAGCCTGCGAACTCAAGGGTCCCAGGTTCAATTCCAGCCAACGGCATGTACCTTGGTTGCGGGCACATCCCCAGTGGGGAGTGTGCAGGAGGCAGCTGATCGATGTTTCTCTCTCATCGATGTTTCTAACTCTCTATCCCTCTCCCTTCCTGTGAAAAATCAATAAGGTATATTTTTTTAAAAAAAAGAACAGCAAGTGCAGAGGCCCTAAAATAGGATG